TAAAAATAATATATATCTTGAGACTTTCTATATTATTCTTCTGTAGTTTAGTTTTTGTTACATTGTTCAGAGAATCATTAAAAAGAGTTTGTTAAAACTTAGTTAAATAATTCTATATATAAAAATATTAAAAAACTAATTATAAGCATTATTGTTTGAATTACTATTTTAAGTTTAAAAAAACTTAAAATTATTAGCTAAAAAATGATTTATCTTACTAAATATTAAACTATCTTGATTTATAAAACAAAACTATATCTTGTTTTTTAGATTATTTTAATATATTATTCTTTAAACTGTCAAGTGTATATATATGTACACTTAAATTTTTAAAGGTCTATTTTTGCACAATTTCTTTTGATTTTATTAAGTCTTATCTCTTTTCTATACTATAATTAAAATGTACTATATCAGTATTCTGAATCTTATCTTATGGTATCTATCACATAGCAATAATATATTCAAATAAATATCTAAGATCGCTTGTATGCAGATCTAAAGAATCACAAATTATCAATATTTAGAACTTGATCCAACAATCTAATAATTATTTATTTGTATTAAGGCAAAAAAAACTTATCAAATGAAGAATGAAGAATCACTTTGAATTTAAATAAATAAAATATTTATATTAAGTCAAAGCATGATAAAAAAAAATCAAGTTAATATATGATTAAAAAAAAAAGAAAAAACATATTTTCTGCATCTGAGCCAAGTTCATTGGCTTCAAGTTCAAACTCATTTCTTATTGAAGATACTGAAGATATTGAGTATTCAGATAGTGAAAAAGATTATATGCCACTTTTAACCTTTCGTCAGACTTTTTTGAAAAATTAGAATTCAGATTATAGTAATAATGATTATGTAGAAGTAGACACTTCAAGTGCTTACAAAAAAAATGCAAATTAGCAGAAGTTATACAGCAAGAGCTTCCTCCATCACCCAACTTTGATCTATATATCTATTCGAAACCACTACACCAAGTATTTATGCACTTGCTATTATAATATGAAGTTATTAAATCAATTGACATTTTTCTTTTTTTTTTGCAATAAATATGTTAGATACAATAGTAGTCAACACAAATTTATATGCATTAACAAAAAATACTGGTGCTTTTGGTAGGCATTGGCAAAACTTAACCTATAAAGAACTCATCATATAGATCATATTAGTTATTTACCAAGGACTTTTCAAGTTCTCTTCTTTTAAACAATACTGGAACAAAGATACAAGGTTTCCTCTCTACTATATTTTAAAGCAAATAATACTGAAACACTTTGAACAAATTAAGCGATATTTACATATTTTTTCTCTTGCAGAAATGATTAACTATTACTTTGAAAATTGAAATATTTGCTTTCTCATATTTAAGATATTTCTAAATATCTTTATATACCAAACTCTAATATAGCAGTAGATAAAATGATGGTTTGATTTTCTGGTAAAAGCATCTACACAATTCATATAAAAACAAGCCAATTCTAGAAGGATTCAAGATTTTGTCACTTTGTAATACCGGATATACATATACCTTTTACCTATATCATGTATCTTTGCAAATGATGTAAAAAAAATAAATAGAATTAATCAAACTAAGTGCTTGGTCCTTCATCTTGCTGAATAGCTTCCTTATCAAGAATATTTATACAATATATACATGGACAATTATTTTTCTAGTGTTCTTTTCTACAAGTATTTTTTGCAAATTGGTATTAGCACCTATAGAACTGTCTGAAAAACTGCTTTCAGATTTCCAAAAAAGTTGAAGATAGATAAAAATATTAAACTTAACTGAGATGTTTGCTCTGGTATAACAATAAATAAAGTAATAGCAGTTATCTGACAGGACAATGGTTCTGTTACAATATTAACAACAGTTCATAGCCTTGTTGGTGAAAAATGGGAAATAATGCATGAAAAATGACAGCCAAGAGAACCAGTATCAATGTAGCTAAAGTTCATGTAGTGTTCAGGTTAAAATCAAAAAATTTTTAAACATCTCCAAAATTATTGATGACTATAACTGTCATATAAATGGTATGAACATTGCAGACCAAATGTGATCATACTACAGTATACAAAAAATGGTAATAAGAAATTAGATACTTTTTTTTTAGCTTCTTAATACTACTATTATCAATATTTACCAAATTACCAGAACTCAAAAATCAACAAAAAATCAAAAAAATTCTACTATAAACTTGTTTGGGAACTTATAAATCTTGCTAATGATAGTGGTAGAATTTAATTAAGAAAAAAGCAAGATCAAAAAAAAAAAAAGCAGTAAAAAAAAACAAGGATATCAAAAAATTCTAAGCTCTTCAGTTATTGGTTAGTACTAGAAAACCACTTTGTTGAATGAAGAAAAAAAAAAGAAAAGTATATCAGTAGTGTTTCTGGCTAGCTAATAAAAAAGAATTAGAGATAAGTCACAAATCTCCAAATCAGAGTAACTTTTGATGTGTGAAGTGCAATATACCACTTTGTTATAATGCAAACTGAAATTGTTTTTTAGAATTTTATGTTAATAATTAAAGAAGAGGTCATGATAAGTTGTCAAATACTAGTAAAAATGCAAATAACATCAAAACAATTAATCTAAAACATAATTCTATTTAGCAATTTGAAATTATTTGATAAGATATTTTTAATAATATACTATATATGCACAAAAAACTAATTCTAAATCAAGTATACAAATTTAATAAAAATATACTTATAGAAAAATAATTTTGTTTAAAAATTGTGACATATCATTTATTTATAAACTCATACTTATTATTTCAGAGTTTTTTCTTGAAGAATTAGCAAACATTTTGATCTTTATTTAATTGAAACACAAGCTAATTAACTTCATATACATTTTACATGTATTTATCAAAAATGTTTTCAAAGTAATCAACTTTAAATTTGTAAGAATAAGGCTTTTTAGATTTTTTTTTTCTAATTATTTTGTATTATATATATATATTTTTCTTGCACTATGTCTTAATTATTTATATCGCATCTTATTATTTTAATTTTTAATTAAATAACCTATAATTGCATTATAATTTGGTCAATAAATTAGATTGATTATGAATACTAATAAGCATATGATCATTTTCTATACTATTGTTACAAAGTACAAGGGTACTTTATAATATTACAGTTGTAAAAAATAATAGGTTTTAAGCAGAATCTGCCAAGATAGCTTCAGAAACTTCAGGTACTTCGCTACTACAACACAGATTTATTTTACCTGTTTAGATTACTTGATTTGTATAATACCATATTTGTGCAGTATACAATTTGACCTGAGTTTTTGGGAATAGTTCTAGTTGATTTATCACTCTTTTCAAATTAGTGTGTCTATCAAATTTTATGCAGCACACACTACATACAATCTAAAAATCTAAATTTAAAATCAGGAATCCAAAATATAAAATATTTTATATAATTATGAACAAATTATTGTTAATAAAATATATTATGTAATTATTAACAAATTATCATTATAAAATATATTTATGTAATTGTTAATAAATTTTAAAAATAATAAAAATTTTTTTTTTTTTACAAGTTTGTCAATCTTAATAGCAGATACTACAAATACAAAGCTTAAATATCATTGTGGAACATGTTTTTGATGCCAGAAATATTTATATTGTACAAAAGATTTATGCTATTTTACTTGTAACTGTAAAAAATCATTGGCTTCAAATAAGAAAAATAGGACTGCCAAGGTTAAACATGCATATACATGCCTTTATAAATCTACTTGGATAGCTGCAAAGTTTAAATATATTCATAAAATAGTTCAAAAACATAAATTATCAAATAAATTTAAAGAAATTTTTTAACTTTTCTCTTTGCAGTCTATGTAATAATATTTTGTTAAAATTGAATCCTACAAAAAATAAAAAAATTAGTGAATATAATGACAGTTACAATAACAAATCTAAAAATAAATATAGCTACAGATATAAACCTAATAATAGATACAGCTATGGGTATGAATCTGATAATGGATATAGCTACAGATCTGACAATGGATACAGATACTTTACTAAATATTATTATAATTATATACATATATATATATACTACTATACTATATATAGATTTAATAAAATATTATATTTTTTAGAAAATAATCTCACTACCTACTTGATCTATGTCTATTGTAATAAACAATAGTGAAATGAATAACAAAGATAAATCTGATGATTCTGATGATTTCAAATATAAAATTAGTTACAAATTGATTATAAAAATAGCAAAAAAGACTTTACCAGCTAAATAGTTTAAAGAAACTGCATTATCTATTAATGAATTTCTTTTATTGCTTCATAATAAAATTACTATATTAACAAAAGATAATATGCTCATGCCAAATGACTATATTGTAACATTTAAAACACAAAAAGAAACTAGTACTAGTACACAATTGTCTGATATGCAAGATTTTATTAAATTCAAGGCTAAATATACAAAGTTATCTGCAAAAAATATTGATATTAGAATTTATATAACAATTAAATGACCAATTTATTAATCTAAACAAAAAAAAAAGATAATAATCTAATTTATAGTATTATATGCAGATATCAATATTATTGGTAATTGATCAATCTAATAATTTATCGTAACGGTAATTGTTTAAGAACCAAATTTAGAAACTATGAGTTTTCAACTGATTATAAAAATAGCAATAAAATTCCACATATTTTGTCTTTATCTTCACATGATAAAGCAATTGCTAAGAATGTGCTAGAAATTTGAAATAAGCATCATTGTAATATACACAATCAATCTTGCTTGTATAAAGAAAGTAACAAAGACTTACATATAGAAATTACCTTTATGATACTTTCAATTTGGGCATCAGATATAGTAAATTTTATTTTATATATAATAAATCAGATTACATTTTATAAAATCTAAATATTTATAAATTATATTTAGAACAAAAGGCTATACACGGTTAAAGATCCTCTGACACATCATCTTTTTTCTTATACTAATATATCCAGAAGATCATATTTGTCTTCAAAATCATTACTAGCTATATTATCACTATCACTAGCAACATTAATACTATCATTAGCAACATTATCACCATTAACAATATTACAATCATCACAAACAATATTACCACTACCACAGACACTATTAGCTTCATTACCACCTCAAGTATCATTAGCTTTGTTACTATCACAAGCACTATTGATTTCATTACTACTATCACAAATACTATTAGCATCGTTTTTACAAGTATTATTATAAAATAATTAGGTTTTTGGACCTTTTGGGCCTTTAGTTTTCACCTATTTTCAATATTATACCAAGCACAGTCTATTTCTTTACAATATCAAGAAAATCAATCTTGCTCAATTAAGTTACTAACCATGGCTAAGTTTTTAAAAGAAATAGACAAAAAAAAGAAACAAATAACTATTATTAGAAATTTTTGAATAAGTTTAAAAAGCAAAAAGTTTTTATAAATCATTTAAAAAATTTATCTAATAAAAAATTCAAGCAATGCGAAGTAAATATAGTTGGTGATTGACAAACTTTATGTGATTATGCAAAAAAATATCAAAATGTTTTTAATTTTTAAATACAAAAATGTAGGTATATTCAAAATGATATTTGTAAAAATACTTATTTTATTTTACTATTCTTTAGGTTTGAGAAAGAAATAACATTAGCAAAGATTGATTTTTGTTATGATAATTTTGGTTTAAAAATGAAAAGCTTAGGAAAACTTTGCAAAAACACTAGCCTAAATTTTAGTATATTTATATAATAGCTTAGTAGCAAGACCAATTTTAGCAATAGCATAAACTTATATGTAACAAAACAATATAATAAATTAAAGTCAATTCTTGTGCAAAAGTTAAACTTTTTGAAATTGAAAAAGTATAAAAATGTGGCTTATCCAAATTAATTTACAATTCTTTTACTTATACTTCTTTACTTTAGAGCTATAAAGAAAAACTTTGTTATTCAAAAAAATACTATTTATTAGGTTAGCTGAATGTTGAACCACTTTCAAAATTAATTGTATAGTAAATTTATGATATCTTTATTATCTCTTCGATAACTCAATTTATTAATTTCTTAATTCTAATAAGAAATAGCTATTTATATTTTTTAAACTATTTAAGCTTTTAATAGAACTATTATAATGCTAATATCAATAAATAGATAACTAGGTAAAAAATTTGTAGCTTTGATAACAATATATAGGGATAAAAAATAAGACTGAAAAAAACAATATTAACTCTCTCTGGCTAGTTAGTTAATTACAATTGAGAGAGAGCCAGGTATTGTGGCCCATTTAAGAGTTGCATATAAAAAAAAAAATAAAAAAAAACTTTGAAATTTAAATTCTTAAAATCTATTAAAAACATGTATTGTTATATTTTTTCAAATAGAGAGTATTATAGTACACAATATATTTTATTACTACACTCTCCTCTCAGATATTGCCTAAATAAGTAAATATAAGAAAATTGAATACAGTATTTACCTTTATTTATTTTGAAGTTTAGCAATTAGAACTATATGATTTTTTATATAATTTAAATTGTCTTAATGAGATAATTCAAACAGTACTAATATAATTTGATTCTATATGCTGTTAATAAAATATAACTGCAAAATCTAAGTGTATTATATTCTCCACCTGCACCAGGATACCCAGAAAGAGCAGCTAAATACCTTATAAATGTATATATCAAGGTATTATCAATAATAAATACTCTATTAAAAAAATAAAAAGTAGTAAAGAAGCCAAAGAGGTAATATTATGAATTAACGTATTTTTCACAAAATATATTGATAACTTATTTGGGCTCTGATTTTTTTTTGAAAACTATTAATTTTGTAAAAAAGATTGAAGAGGCTAGAATTATTTTGTTAGCCTATATCTGGTATTATAGAGAGAAATAAAAGTGAGCAAAATTGGTAAATATAAAGATATTTTTTTTTCGTTACTTATTTGATATTTTATTAATTGTCATTCTTGTAATTCTTTATATTTAAGCTATTGAATAAAAATAATCTATAAATAAAAACTTTTGTTTTTTATACTTATACATACTTGTAAGCAAATATTGGTACAAAATATTAATTTTTATTCTTTAGTAAGATCTATTTTTAACTGAATAAAAGTCTTGGTAAAGATCATTTTAAGATACTGTTTGATTATGCAAGATTTTTAAAAGTTCTTTGACTGTCTTACTTAGAATGTTAATAAGTAATTTGCAATTATATTGTAATTAATCACATATTTAAGCAGTATATTATGTTTTTATTTATTTATTTATTTGTATCCTGCATCTTTATAAAAATTTTTTGCCATTTCTGGTGAAATTTGAGCATATACAACTAATAAAGAATATATTGAATCGTAGAAATTCTTAACAAAGTAATGATATCATTGCAGATAACTTTTTATTATAAAAAATACTATTTTAATTAGATTGAAATTGGGCGAATATGAAGGAAGAAACTTTATACATACTCTAAAAGCATTTAGATATTCAAGCAATCTATCATTATGATGAATTTATACATTGTCTAAGACTAAAATGCTATTAGAGTGTGGGTAGGAGTTTATATGTAGTAACTATATATTAAGTATTAGTTAATACTCTTATTAAAGTTCTTTAAGCATTATGTTTTTACAAAATAATATTCTTTGTATTATTTTGTAAAAATATAGTAAATATAATTAGCACTATATATATGACTTTATTAATAATAAATTCTGTAAACTTAGATTTTGTAAAATTTCCTTCTATTATATCAATAGTGACTATTTTCTGCAATATTAATGCAGAACAAAGTGTATATCGTATTCTATACATGAATACAATTTTCTTTGCTATCTGAGTATTAATCTCTGAATATCCATAACCTCTTGTTATAGATTACTCATCTTTTGCTAATTCATCTATAAATACTAATTGCTTTAGCTGATAATAAATATCAACACATGCTATAAAGGCACTTTGTATTAGTTCATTACGTTCTTTTGCTTCTTTGTACGTAAAGCTATAATAATATATAAATTATTAAGAATTTATACATATAATCATTTTATATAAAATAAAATTGATATAATCTTTTTTTATATAATACCACAATATACTAAAGATCTCTATAATATTAGAACTGATACGAATTTATCAGTATGCCGTTCTATCTCACAAACTAGTTCATTCAAATACTAGTCAATTTTCTTATTGACAATTTCTTGCAAAACCTAATTTGTATATAAGTTACTAAAAATTTTTATTACAAAATATATAAAACAAATTAGTATATAGTATATATATTCATATTATCTTTATTGAACATTTTTTGTATTTCAGGAACTTTGCACTATAGATTAACAACAGTACTCCATCTTCGGTAAATTCTTAGAACTTTTTTTACTAATGAATGACTAATATATAAAATAGTGGTGATTTTGTCTTTTGAATAACTATCATAATGTAAAAAAAAACAATACACTATTTGAGGTCTTTGCTATAAGAATATGCTATTTGGAAGGTTAAGTTAAATTTGTTATAATTGAATAGATATTTAATTTTATAGTTTTATAAAAACTATTTGAATAACTTCAAGGAAAAATCAAACTTTAGGCTTCAAATTTATTATATATTATTTACTACATTTAGCTTTGCTCAATTACATAATTAATTTATTAATATATAATATATGTTCTTGATCAGGGCTGAATTTTATAAAAAAAATAAAAGCTCTAAGTTTTGTTCTTTCTTGGCATCACTAATTTAAAATTTTTATGATTAGTAAGAAAACCCTAAAAATTTTAATTTTATTTTTGTATTACTATAATACAAAAAATCAAATATAGATTAAATTGTTATAACATATTTAAAGATCAAACTAAATTCACGTTTAAGGTATATTCGAACCCAATTATTGCTTAGAGTTTTTTTTACAGATTTCTTAATTATGCTAAATTTCATTTAAAAAATATAAAGAAGCAAATTTTTGCTTTATTTTTTAATCACAGTTTGACTAGCAATAGAAAAATGCATGTTTTATAATAATATGTACATGAATTTGTATCAATATGTATATTATATAAAATACATATGATATCATATAATATAATTTTTAATTCTTTCTCTCTCTCTCTAATTTCTTCTCTTTCAATTACTTCTTTCCTTATCTGATTCTTTTCTTTTCTTACTCAAATTTTTTTTTCTATTTCTTTTTTTTAATTTCTTTCTCTAAAATATTTAAAGCACATATGAGATTTAACTAAGTTGATATGCCTACAGGGTTTTGGAATTGAACTTTCTAATACAATAAAATAAAATAAATAGCAAATTGATACTGAATTAAAAATCAATGCTAAATTGAAAATAGATATAGTGTCTTTTTTTTTTTTTTTTTTTTAGGATAGTCTTCAATTTAGTTAAAGTGTTAATAAAGCTTATGTGAATATAAATATCTAATTATTGTTTTTAGAATTTGTTTATGATAGTAGAAATTTTTAACTTTATTTGTATATAGCTAAATATAGTATTAAAAAAGTAAAAACTAATTTTATTCGTATATTGCTAGATATAGTATTAGAAAAGTAAAAATAAAACCAATTTATATTATATAATTGAACATAAACATCTAGTTATAATTTATAGAATTCATGATAGCTAAATAAAATATTAAAAAAGTGAAAGTAAAAGATAAATTTAATTTTTTATTATTATATAATTAAATATAAATGTTTAATTACAATTTTACAGAATTTACTTGTATCAATAGAAAAAAATATAAAATTTTCTATTTTAATTAGCTAATTCTAAAGCCAATTTTTGTATATAGCTAGATACAGTATTAAAAAAGTGAGAATTGAAGAGGAATCTTGGGAATTTTTATTTGTTAGCAAGAAATTTAGATTTATTTACAAAAAAAGCACTAAAATTAGAAAATTTTGCCAATTTTTAGAGTAAAAGATGATTGGCAGAGATCACACCAATTTGAAAAGAGCGATAAATAAAAATTTATATAAAAAAATTTTTTTTATAGTTGTTAGTTTGTCTAATAATTTAAGTATACAAATATATATGCTTAAATTAACGGTTTAAGAAATAGAATAAAAATATAGTCTTAGAATTTATATATTATATTCTTTAACAATTTGTTTTTATAGCTATTAATTTATTTAAATTTAGCTATTATATGTAGTGTATATCTACAGTGGGGTACCATATTATTATGAACACTTTTTAAAAATTTATATTGAGTTAAATAAGCAAGATATCAAGTCCAAAATTATATAAAAAATTGCCTAAATCTAAGGCTTTGAAATAAAAAAAAATTCATAAAATTCTATGCAGTAGTTGTTGAAATAGTTAAT